GGGGGTGTCAAAATGGTTCTTGCTTTTGATTCCCTAGGAACGATAATCTAAGGACAACCAAGGATACTGCATAACTCAAATACAACAAAGCATATATATATGTGCATATATATTTAAAATGAAATAATAAATAATAATCTAAAACTTGTCTGTGGTTTTGGGATTTCTTATTTCAAATAGCAAATTTTTAAATATACGTAAACCATGAATTCCTTCTATACCACTTTAATTTTTTTACCTCTTACTAAAGAAAACAATCCTCCCGATGGCTTCCTCTAATATGATGATACTGTCTAATGCCATCATTTTAATACACATATCATTTGATTTAAAATAGAAGTGGCAGCACTAGCAAGCTGCAAAACAGGCTTTATCTCAAACAAGAAAAAAAAGTCTGTTCGTAAAGAGAAGACAAAAAGGACCTAAATTCAAAAGGAAAAAAAAATAGAAAGCAATAGAGACTCAAGAAAATACACTTGGTTTTCTCATCTGTTAAATGGGAATAATCATAGCACCTACCTCACAGGGTTGTCATGAGGATTAAATGAACTCATACCTGCAAAGCACTGAACATAGTGTCTAGGCCCAGATTGAGTTCTCAATAAATATTAGCACTAATCATCATCGTTATTGGCAATGGCTCTAGTTACCAGGCTATCTCTTGCTTTCCCACTAGGGAAAGCAAACAGTCTTAAAGGAATGACAATCTTGTGAAAATCTTTGCTGCCAAGCAACCATAGCCCTATTTCACAGAGGGAGTACACTGAAAAAAATGCTCAAGATTTCTCAAATCCAGAAGCAAGAAGAGGTAATCACAGAGAGGGTCAGTGTTTCTGATTTGTGAAGGGAGGGTGATCACCTAAAAAAGAGAGATAAGGCTTGTTCTGCATTTTCCAGAGAGCTGGACTGGAATTAAATGGTGGAAGTTACAGAGGGAAACGTCCGCTCAGTATACAGACTCTCCAACATTGAAAACACTCGCCTTATAGAAGGACAGGCTGCCTTGAAGGATAGAGAGTATACTGTCATACTGTTACTGAGAGTGAAAGCAAGAGTTTCATCAGTCAAGGACGACAAAGAAAAGATTCCTTAGCAAGTCCACGCTAGATGACAGCAATAATGACAACCACCACCGCCACAATGATAACAATGATAGTTGACACTTCTACAGAAATTGTCCAGCATTGTTGTAAGGACTTCACATGTAATGACCCATTTAATCCTTACCACAGCCACCTGGCTCCACAGTCTGTGTTCTTAGCCACTACAATATGCTGACTACCTCCCCGTTTTAGAATCCTGAGCAAGTCACTTCACCTCTCTGTGCCTCCATTTCCTCATTTATAAAATGAAGATAATAATAGCACTCATCTAAGTGATAAATATTAAATGAAATAACACATTTGTTTAGCACCGAGAACAGTGCCTGACATGTAGCAAGTACTTATAATTTTTCACATAAAGATCATTTCAACTTTTAAGAAATTTTTTTACTTGCATGGCAAGTTAGGGAAGGCATAAAGAATCATCTTGGCTATAGTGAGTAACCTGACTCATAATTTTTTTTTTATTCAATAAGTGGAACTCAAGGGTTGCTGCTTTAGGACCGATTCTCTAACTGAACAACATTAGCCATGAAAAATATGGAGAAAACTGCTAACGGGAGAGTTCTGCATGAGATCAGATTCTCTGTATACTCTGTCATGACTGACTGTAATGTAAGACCTTGAAAAAAGTGGCCTAGACCATCGCGCATTGCTGACTTCTCTTACCATCCTCAAGACCTCAGTCAGTCATTCAACTGTACTTTTGGCAGAATCCTTAATTGCTTCACACTGGATGTTCCCTAGTACCTACTTAATTAACCAATTCCCAAACCTAGGTCAATCCAATCCATTTCTTTTGCACCTACCTTGCAAGTGCAACCTGGCATCCAAGATACAAACCTTCTCTTCACCTTTACGTCATCCCTTTACAGATTTTCAGAGAGGCAACATTTAACTTTTATTTCTCTCAAGCTTCCAAACCTACTCCTGCCCCATCCTCAAATATCCTCACTCCTCCATAACTAGAAAATAGAAGCAATCAGATATAAATTCTTTCCACGTTTCATATACCTCCCTCCACACCCCTAAACTCCTGCAACAGCAAATCAATTCAACATTCACTGATGTCTCTGCCTAGCCTCTTCACTCTCCTTCCTGTTTCAAAAGGAAAACAAATGCTCCCACACCTCCTTTCAAAGGCCAACTCTTTCTTCTATTCTCTGATGCTATCCAGGAAATGGAGGTTACATAATCTTCTTTGGTTTGCTGTTCTGGCAACTATTCCCCCGTCTCCCACACCTCTCTTTTGGATCTTCAAACTTTTCTACTCACCTATAAACATACCCATAAGAAAAAATTCTCAGTCCTGTTTCCCTCAGAAACCTTGACCCTTTCCCCATTTTACTGCCGCATATCTAAGAATGGTCTCTTGCTGTAGGTATCTAACCCGCTGAACTAATAAATGTGAATCACTGGAAGGCAACCTGATACAGGTTATTCTTGATTACATCAATCTTTTACGTATGCGTAAAGGTTCTGACATCCAGCAGCCACAGATTTGGTGACCATTATTTTCTTCCATTTACATTGTATTTTTAACAAACATAATAAAGGAAAATGTACCACAGAGGTTTGTTATATATGACAAACTGTACTTTAAATATTGATATTTAAATTACTATGTACATTCTTCATAGTAATGATTAAAAGTTATGAACAATGTGATAATGTAAATTGTCTATATAAACTTTTAGAGCCTCATCTGATTTAAAACTTCCTGCCTATATAGAAAAATAAGCTTATAGAAATAAAGGTTTCTCTACACGTTCAGGGAAAAGGATCTGGCAAAAGGACCTAAAATAGGAGAGAACATGATGTATTTAACAAGAAGCAAGCAAGCCAGTGAGGGTGGAGCACAGAAAGCAAGGGGTGGGAGAGGCAAAGGCCAGATCCCACAGGGCCCCCTAGGCCAGAATGAATCCATTTTGGTACACGGTAAGAACAGCAGCAAGCAAATGAAAAGCTGTAAGCTGGGAGATGGAAGGATCAGATCTGCAATTTTAAAAGGATTAGTCTAGTTGCTGTATGGAGAATGAATGGGTAGCCAACCAGAGTGAATGTGATGGGGACAAGTGGGAATTAGGCTGTTTCAGAAGCCTAAGAGGGAAATCATGGTAGCCTGGATCAGGGTGGCAGTAGAGATGAAAATAAGGAGACAGATTCTGGAAAATAAAATCAACAAGACTTGGTGAATGATTAGACATGGGGGAAAGAAAGGAAGAGAGATGTCAACGACACGTTAGTTTCCTGAATTTATATACATATATACATTGAAATGCGGAGTAACACCACTTATACAATATATACCAAATTATTAACAGAAATTACCCATAGGAAAAGAAGACGAATTTTACACAGTAAAAGGCAGACTGATTTTTTTCTACATAGATATCTGCATTGTTTAAACATATTTATAATTAGCAGGTATACATTATTTCATAGGTAAATTCACATGCAATAAAAAGAAATCATTTGCCTGGCTGAAAAGCATAGTAATGGCATTTTAGGGAGAGGGAACAGTCTATACAAAGGTACAAACATATGACAGTACATGGTATATTTAAAGAATATCAAGTAGTCCAGTGTTTGCAGAGCAAGAAGGATGTGTACTGGAACAGGATGAGCAGAGGATTAAAGCTGGGTTAGAGAATGGCTACTTCACGAAGGAACTTATTAAATGCCAGGCTAAAGAAAGCATTCCCTGAATTGTAAGAAATAGGGAAGCACATAAAGCTTTAAGCAGGAGGGTAAAAAAATCAAGTTTATATTTTAGAAAAATCACTTTAGAGGCAGTGTGAAGACTGGGCCAAGATGGATGTAAGAAAATAGGCTGGTAGATCACTTAAGCCAGAACTTAAGCTAGATCAGGGGCAACTGACGTAGTAAAGGGGAGAGAGCTGAGATTCATTTCAGAAGACAGGAGCTGGTGATTAAACTGAATGCAACAGAGAGGGAAAAGGGAAAGTCAAAGATGCTTCCCATGGCTTCTAGTTTAGGAAATTAGATAGTGATGACATCAATTTAGGTAATTTAAGAACAGGTTAAATGAAAAGCTAAGAAATTTTGTTTTGGAGATGCTGAGGTTAAAGCACCTCTGGAAGCAAGTCAAGGTGCCCAACAGGAAGATGGATACATAGCTTTGAATTTGAGGAACAAGGTCAGGCCTAGAGCACACGAACACTATTACCCAGAATAGAGAATTTTAAGCCTGTGGATAAGATCTTACCCTTGACGTAATTTTACTGAATTCTTGAGGCAACTGTCAAAAGTTGACCAGTTCCATTTATTCTCAGTTGTAAAAATTCCACATAATTGTTAAACTCTCTGTAGGCAATATATAACTTAAAAAAGTAAGCCAGAGCTTTGTCTTGCTCTCTCTTTCAGTCTTTTATTTTTTTTTCCCTTCCCCTTTTGTCTGCCATTCTTTCTATCTATCAAGTTAAGGAAGATATAGGAAGTATAATATAAAAAAAAACTTTTGTTATTAAATATTGTCATATTTTGTCTTAATTGTAAAAGGCAAAGAAAAGAACATTTCACAATTCTACCTTTAACAAAACCTAAGTTAAATAACGATTTATCTATTTGACTCTCCACTGATTTTTCTCTTGCAAGTCATTGACCCTTAATTAACTGACATCCTCAAGGCAGTCAACTCCAGCTGTAGCTTTAACCAGAGGTTCCTGAAACAATTCCACAGTCCTGTTGTTGCTCACCGTCAGAAATCCGAGTCACACTGTACCTTGGTCTAACTGATGATGCCCTAGTTTGGTGGGAGGTGGAGAGGAAGGATCTGTTGGCAAGGAAACAGCTGCTTCCTTCCTGAGCCAGGGAAAACCAGGAAGGTGACAGATGGGCAGAGCAGAAAAGTAGCCAAAAGTCGCTCTGGCTCCTCGTTGGCAAGGATTCTCACTGAGGCACGATTGGATATTTTAAAGCATATCAACGATTGAGAGAGTTTCATCTGCCTGGGTGCTCTGCTGTGTTCAACAGGGCTTTCCACACATTTTCTACATTTGAAAAACTTTTAAGTTTGCAGTGGTAGAAAGAACCTGGCCTCAGCCTATGTACAGTGGGCTAAGACTGCAAGGCACTGTCCCATTTCAATTTCTGATTATACCCAAGAGAATGCACTTTCTGGTAAAAAAAAAAAAAAAAAAAAAAAAAAATTTTTCATTGTCTGTATAGTAGTTATATTTGTACAACTTATTAGAATTACTATTAAAATTTCATTAGAAAATGTTTTCCTTAAATACGTTTACTTTTATATATTTAATTTTAAAAGATTTGTTGCAAACTTTTATATTCTGTTATCTTTTCCCCTCCCATCCACTTCTGTACCCAGAAAATTAAACATCCAAGAACTCCTGGGTAAAATAGCCAACTACTGGATTGATATGTTATAACTAACATATTTTAAAAATGGCTGTAAATAGGTTATTGTTCTTTATCAAATAGAAATTAGCAATCACTGATAACATTAAAAATTAGTGTGGGCATGAAGTATGGAATTTTAAAACATCAGTTTACTATGCTGATTAATTCAACATTTATATTTGCATCAGAACTTAATAATCCCATAAATAAATAGAGCTCTCAATTATTTTAAAAAATCAAGGGATAACATATGTATTTAGACACATTAGCAGCGTAAAGATGTATGCTTTAACACACTTATTGGGAAAATGTCTGAAAATATTACTACACTGAATTCAAGGGCATCCGCAGGAACCTGACATAAAAGTTCTCTACAACAACAACATTTCAGGAAATTCCAAAAAAGGAAAAGGGTAAAATAGGAAATAGCCTCAAATTAATCGACAAAGTTCAGTGCTTGCTCCAACTTGATTTTTCTCTCCATTGCAAAAGCAACAGAGTCACAGGATGGGTGGGCGAAATCACTTAGACGAAAGTTCATCTACTGGAATAAATGGAGAGGCCGCTTGGGCAGGCGACACAGGAGAGTCGGTGGTAGTGCTGACTTTCGCTGGTGAGTTACAAGAAGATCCGGCACTGCTGCTGTTTCCATCAAGGGTATCTGAAGATACACACACACCAGGATCTGACAGCTGTGCAACGTCAGAAGAAAGCATGTTGGTGATGCCCTGGAAAAATCTCTTTGGCTGATATTCAGTTTCCATTTCACATTTTCTTTTCAATGGTCCAAGAACACTTGGTCTAATGCAATTAATGGGACTCTGGCTTCTCCGGGTAGTAAATCGGGTCGTTGGACTGGGAATAGGACTTGGAGGCAATCCATTGCTACTCACAAAACTTTGCAAGGATGGTGAAAAACACTGCTTCCCAATTCCCCGGGTGGGTGACGGCGCTGGTGACACCGGAATGAAATCGATGCGCTTCGGCGAGGCGGATTTCTCCACATCGTTGTCACTCAGGCTGAAACTTTCCTCCCAGGAGTGGCTTATCTGCATTGCGTTCTGCACCTCGCGCTCGTGGACCGTCTCTCGGTTGATCAAGTCCATGCCCTCCTCCTGTTTGATCTGGTGCAAGCGGCTGCTGTGCATGCGGACGGGGGAGGCCGGCAGCAGCAGGCCGTGGCGGTTCGGGAACGTCGTGCTGTTCCGCCTGGCGCTCGGCGCCTCGGCCTGGAACACCGGCGAAGTGTCACTGAGGCCGTGGATCAGGGGGGCGCTGTTAGACCTCCTGAGGCCCCCGCCGCCGCCACTGCCGCCGCCCTCCGCCGGGCTCCCGCCCGTACCCGGAGGCAGCTCCAGGTCTAGCTCCATCTTCTCCTGAGCCATGTCGGGGGCAGGGAGGCGGGGGCGGTGCTCAGTCAGAAACCTAGCAGTCCCATTCCCCGCAGTCCAGGGCCGCCGCCGCTGCCGCCGCCACCGAGAATCTGTCAGAGGACTCGGCCCTCTGCGCATGCGTGCCCCTTCGCGCAGGCGCCCTGCGATGTCTCTCCTCGCGGCGCCTGCTTAACACGTAAGAGCTGCGCCGCAGCCCTAGGGGGAGGAGCGAGGAGTGGTTAGGCGGCTAGTCTGTATACTTTCCTTCCGCAAACAGCTATTGAGCGCAGCTCTCATTAACGCCTGTTAATAAGATTACCATATTCAGGAGTATATATTTATAAAATAAGAGCTCTGAAAGAGAGCCCCTTGGTGGTGTGGGGCTGTATAATGAGGAGTGGGGCTTGGCCTAACCCAAGAGGGCTTCCCCGAGGAAGGGACAACCTCTTGATATCCCAAGTAGTAGGCGAAATGGCTGCGACATAGAGCTGTCCAGGAAGCTAGGGCCACCAGCCGGGTGGCAGGGGGAAACCTAGAGGGGTGGGAGGGAGTGTGGCCAGGAGTGGAAAGTGAGGGCTGACAAGATGTGAGGTGGTGGGCCAGGGCAGAGTCTGGTCTTTATCCTGAGAACAATAAAAACTCTGAAGGTTTTCAAGCATGGGTATAATAGCGACTGAAGAGCTCGCTGGCTGCAGTCTGGAGAATACATTTTTGGGAGATGAGAACCTTCAGGAAAAAGACCAGAGAGGAGGCAATCCCCTAGGCCAGAGAGGATGATAATTTGCACTAAAGTGGTAGTGTGGGAGAGGAGATGGGGAGAATGGTAAATCTGACAACTATTTAGGTTAGGGAGCAAAAAACCAACCTATAAATGTATTACTATTGTTTTATTTACAGTCATATTTCATGCAGAAGCATACGGGCTCAATAATGTTCATTCAGTATGAGGGATTAAATGAAGACAATCAGTAGGTCTTTAAAAATAAACACAATCCTTGGCTCATGTAATTAATATAAACTTTGATATCTCATTAAAATGGGTTTATATTTATTCCTTCATATATTCAGTCAGTCAATTTTTTTCTGCATATCTTCTATGTGCCAGGCACTGTGCTAGGAAATGGGCCCTAATATGAGGACATTTAATTTCTACTGGAGGGAAAAGAAAGAAAGAAATGAGTGGTGAACTGGCAGGAGAAGATAAAAGGGCCATGCAGCTGAAGCATAAGGGGAGAGTTGTATAAAGGGGTACAGGAGTTTGGATCTCATTCTAAGTAGGATGAAAAGCCACTGGGGAGTTTTAAGCAGGAGAGTGATATTATCTGGTTTAGGTTTTAAATATCACTTTAGCTCTATGGAAAATAGACTGAAAGAGGGCAAGAGTGCAGGCAGAAAGACGGATTAGGAACCTATGGCAACGGTACAGACAAGAGATTATTGGACTAGGGTGGCAGCAGTGGTGATGGGGAGAAGTAGATGGAATCAGGATATGTTTTCAAAGTAGAACCAATAGGATTTGCAGATGGCTTAGATTTAGATGGTGAAAGAAACAGACAATTCAAAGGCAACTCATTGGTTTTTTTACTTAAACTGGGTAGATGGTAGTATCATTTACTGAGATAGGGAAGGAGTGCATTTAGAGAAGTGGAAATTAAGAGTTCTGTTTTGGTCGATTTGAGTTGGAGGTGCCTATTAGATATTCATGTGGCTATCTGAACTGAAAGAGAGCTTAGTGATTTTTGTTCATCCCTCTCTTTTTGCAGCTGAAGAAAGTAAGATCTAGAGAGCCTAAGTGACATATTCAGCATCACACAGCTTAGTTAGTAGCAGGAACCAGCACTAGAATCCAGGTCCCTTAGTTCCTAGTCCATGCCTCTTTCCACTGCATCTCAAACAGCTTTTAATTTGAAGTCTCTGTAAAAAGGGCCTGATGATAAAATAATTTTGATTATTCATGCCTATAATTATATAGAAACTGATTTAAGCTTTTCAAGTGCCAGGCACTATTCAAAGTGCTTCACATGTAGTATCTCATTTAATCCTCACAACAACCCTATGAGGTAGGTATTACCGTCCTCATTTTACAGGGGAAACAGATGCAGAGATTAAGGAATGTCCCCAGGATGACAGTAAGTAGCAGGACCTGGGCTTTCTGGCTCCAGAGCCTGGGCACCACGTTACCTCTTTAGGTGAAACGACGCTTCAGGACTAGGAGAAACCGCTTCCAGATTGTTGGCAGCTTTGTGAAGGCAATGGTATTTGAGGCAGGATTTGAAGGATAGGTATGATTTTAATAGAGAGAGGACACTTTACAGAGAAGTGGCAGCATGATAATAAAATACAGAATTTGGCTAATACATGAAGTACGTGGAGAAGAATGGTAATGGGAAAAAGCTGGGAATTGAAGTTGGAGTGAGAGAATTGGAGCTCTGAATGCCGGGCAAAAGTGCCTGTATTTAGCATGTGAGGCATATAGGGAACCACGGAAGGCTTCTGACCAGAGAAATGACACAACGAGAGTTATACTTCAGGACCCGCCAGGCAGATCAAGGATGAAGTGGAACGCCAGAAGGTGGAAAGAACCAACATTTTCTAAGTGCCCACAACCTGCCCGGCACCTGAAACACTCCCAAGTCCCACTGAATCCTCATTGCAGTCCTATAAATTAGATATTGTGATGCTCATTTTAGAGAGGAACAATTGAAGTTCAAAAATTGCAAAAGGCCCTGCAGCTACATGGCAGAACAAAGAACTGAACCAATCTGAATCAAGGTCTCGCATCAAAACCTATGTTCTTTTTGCTGCATTTCCCATGGGTTAGAGAAGGAGAATTTGACGGCTACCTCGGAGATAAAAGGAGAGTCTAAACTAAAGTTGGGAATGGCAGAAAAAGGAGATGGATTGGGGAGACAGGAAGGTAACAACAGCACCTGACTGCCTGGAGGTACAGAGGATGAAGAGCGGAGTCACAAGTGACTGGAGTTCAAGTGTGAGCAGCTGAAAGAATGGTACAACATTATTAAATGAAAATGGGAGAGAGGAGGAAGAGCTTCCAGAAGAAAATTAATAGTAAACATAAAAAAGCATTAACTATAGAACTTACTTTATAATAGCCATAGCATATTGCTAATTTGCATATTACTAAATTATTACTAATGTGGCTCAAATGTGTTGACACTGTTCATCTGTGGCTGGATAAACAAGTATCATCTTTACTAATAAAGCACAGAGATGGTGCTAAGTCCACAAAATCAAACATCTATGCCATTTGATTCTTGCCTGCACACACCTATGAGTGATCTTCACTCATTTCCTTATTTCTACCCTTGTCTGCAGTCAATTCTCCACCCAATGTTCAAGGCAATCCTTAAAAAATTAAGACTTGAATAGTCACTTCTCTGTTCAAAACCCTTTGGTGGATTCTCACTCAGAGAAAAAGCCGAGGTCATTATAATGGTCTATAGAGCCCTATCTGCTCTGGGTCCCTGCTGTCTCTCTGAGCCCACTTACAACTATTCTCTCCCTCACTGCCTCCCGTCCAACTGTAGAGGCCTCCCTCAGCCCACCAGGCACCACAGCCCCCCACTTGGCTTACTCTTCTTCCAGTGGATGTTCATACTGCTCCATCCCTTCAGGTCTCTGCATAAATGTCATTGACTGAGAGCCTTTCTCTGACCTTACCTTGTAAAAAGCAACAGCAGTTCCCAACACCAGGCCTGCACTCACTCCCATGCCCCTTACTCTGTTTTTATTTTCCTCCACAGCGTTACATGGCACATATGTATACATTGTTTTCTTGCCTCCCATCCTTGAGAAGGTCAGCTCCAGGAGAGCAAGGCCTTTGCCTTGTTTCCTGCTGTACACCCAGTATCTAGAACAGGGCCTGATACATAGCACTCAATCAGTAGTTGTTGAATTCATTGTGCGAATGAATGATGAATGAATGAACAGACTAAAGTAGTTTTGTCCAAAAGGGCAGAGAACTCCATTATTTGAAAATCCAGTGTAACAGCCTTTTCTAGACTGATTCTTAAGTACTCCTTACTTGGACAATTCTTTTATCGAGATTATTATTATTAGTGATAGTGCCCTCCAGCCCACAAAGGTAGATTACTTGAACTAACCATGAGGTGAACTGAGCAACTGAAGCCCTAAGTTTCCATTCTTTTTCAATCATATGCTGACACACACTTGATAGAATTAAAATGCCCAATGCTGAGGATTCTAAGCAGTGTTTAATATATTTAGTTACTGCTTCCTCTCAAACGAATAAAGGATAAGTGAGAGAAAACAGCAGTCGCAATTCAGCCTGTTGCAAATGAATCACGCCAGAGGCAGGATTCAGGAAATTGTCCCTGGGTCAATTCATCCTTCTGGTTTCACTCTGGGTATGAATTAAATACCACACTTAGACAGCTCATATTCATGCTCACTCCCAAGTTATAAAATCAGAGGTCTATTCAATAGTTAAACTGTATTGTGATTAATATTATATTTTCTTAAACTAACAGGTAGTTTCCTTTTAATTCCTAGCAGCAGTTTTTCACTATTAAACCCCCATGCCTATGGCAAGGCAAATATCCACTTCTGAATCCATACTGAAGGAATGTCAAATACAAACGTGTGTATGCACATATATAACCTGAGATGGCCTGGCAAATATCTCAACAGTCCATATTAACTAGCATCACCAGCCTAGAATAAAAATATTGCAGAGGAAAACTGTATTTTCAAAGTATAGGAACTTAGAAGTGTTAACTGGTGCAACTACTTAGGAAGATTGTTTGACAGTACTTATGGAAAGAAAATATATGAACGCTCTATGACTGAGCAATTCCACTCCTGGGTATATACCCAAGAAGAAATGCGTGCTTATGTCTACTAAAAGTCATGTACAAGAATGTTCCTTGCATTATTATTTGTAATAGCCACAAAATGGAAACAACTCAAATGTTCATGAACAGTTGAATGGGTGCATAAATTGTACAATGGAATTCTTTACTCAACAACATGGATGAGTTACAGTATAATGTCAAGTGAAAGAAATCAAACCCAAGAGTATATACTCTATGACCCCATTTTTATGAAGTTCAAGAACAGCCAAAATCAATCTATGGTGGTAGAAGTCAAAATAGT